TTTTTTTTTATATACTTTTTTATACCACTGAGGTGGCAAACAAGCATATGGCCCACCTGATGGTAAGTGGTTAAACCGCGTTGTACGCGACCATTGAGGCTGTAGGATATGAGGATGAACTCCCTGTCAATGGCGAGTCGTACGATGGATAGAAAGTGGCCGTGGGCATCATATTGAACAATTCCTCTGAGCACAATCCGTTGTACAAACGGTAGAACACGCAGAGTGAGGCAAAATCTTTCCTAAGACTTAAGGGTTCGATACCGCTTGTAATCATCTGCCGCCTGGGATCATCGACAATTCTCATAGCTTGTCGTTGCAACGAGTCGAAGGGTTCAAGCTGGTATTTAGGTGCTATATAACTTAGAATGGCAATCAAGCTGACAGTACACCTGATGGAAAGTGGCAACCGTCGCCTATAGGCATGAACAGTACTATAGACAAAACAAAGTATACTGTGTTCGCCCAAGATACTTCTCATGCGTTGGCATTCTTGAGGGCTAAGTTATGTCTCTGTACCCTGTAATATCACTGCTATATCTCAACCTTCGATCTATTGCAGAATATCAACGATTCATTTCAATTGACTGTAACGATTGTAATAAATAAAAATTTTGCTCTGCAAAATAAAAATATTCCAATTGTAATTTCGTCATAGTAAAATTGTGACTAGACCATATGTGTATATAGAATGGAGTAGAATGGAAAATATCTATTGTCCATAAAACGATATCACAGGAAGTACCTAATTATAATTACGAAAGAGAAATATGAGATTAAATAACGCGAGATTCCTACATTATACCAGAGGGAGTCTTTGTACTAAAGTCGATTGCTTGGGTACTTTTGATCTATTCGTGTTTCAATCGTGAAGCAGTTGTGTTTGCATGGCTGTGTTTCGGTTTGAAGGGTGGGATATGGCGTGAATTTACTGGGTACAGAGGAATAACACCTGAGTCCTCAGGAATGGCAACGCATGGGAGGTATCATGGGCGAAACAGTATACTCTGTTATGTCCATAGTACTGCTGATGTCTATAGGCGACGGTTACCACTTTCCATCAGGTGGGCCGTCAGCTTGTTTGCCATTCTAAGTTGTATAAAAAAATTAATTTGGTTACAAATTACTCGTAGTTTTATATCCGATACTTCGTAACGTGTAAATCAAAAGTGGAAAACAATGCGTCCACTTCCTAATGGCACATCAAGGTAAAACATATACCACTTTTTAAGTTCGATCTTCAGGGATACAACGGTGACAACCGCATCAAATTCGGACAAATTTCAAAATAAAATCGTTTTGGCTTCTTTAAGTTTTATTCCCAGATATCAATATTTCTTAAATATACCCCATGTATGCGTTGATATATATATGTATATATATATATATATATATATATATATATATATATATATATATATATATATATATATATATATATATATATATATATATAGTTACAAAAAACTACAATATATCCTCATATTCATAAACTTTTTCAACCAAAGACCAAGATTCAATTTGGGGATTTAGAGGGCTCTTACGACTTAAATCTTTCACTGGTTTCATATACCCCATGTGATTGTATTGTGTGTGGGGTTGGTAAAAGGGCGGGGGTCGAAGGCGGCGCGAGCTCGACCCGTGATCTCGACTCGACCGTCACTACCTCGTTTCCGGTCGCGCATCCGCCCGCATATCCGGATCTTGTTGCAATTGCATTAACCGGTAAAATATAAAGTTGGTGACGTATCCGGACATTTTGTATTCGAATTGTGTTTCAGTAAAATGGCTCAGTTTTAATTAAAAAAAAAAGAAAAATTTAACGCATGATAATGTTTTCGTTTAGGAAACGTGAACACATGTAGTTTTCGTGTCGTATTTATTGACTTTAAAACATATTAATAATAGAAGAAAATAGTTTTAAACAGCTATTTTGTATTACATGCATTTTATTAACTAATTATTAAGGAAATATTCTATCAGTGAAGTTATTTTTTTATTTCAAATAAGCAGTGATTGAATAACAACATAAGATTATGTTTCACAAAAAAAAAAAAAACACTTCTAATGTGGCAAAAATTTTGATTTAAAAACTAAACTACTGAATTGTTTTTGATAAAATTTCTATGATAGGAAACTGTAACTATATCCTTTCAGATAAAAAAATAATTTTCCAAATCGGTTTAAAACTGACGGAGTTATGAGGTAACAAACAAAAAATACAACCGAATTTTTCTTTTTGAAGTCGGCTAAAAAACGGGCCTTTTCGAGTATGGAAGATTAAACATTTTTCGAAAAAAAAAACTTTCCAGTTTAACTGGTAGGATATTTCTTTATAAAAATGCCAAAACTTACGATTTTGGCCTGTAAATATATGAGCATTAAAAACTTTTTACTTAAGTGAAGTCGCAAACGCCGTCGGCTTAAGTTCTGATTTGTTACCATTCTGTAAGGACACAAAAAAAAACGTATAAACTTGGTGATGTGTTAGAGAATATAACATATCGGTCATGTTCACCGCGTTCACCGGGTTGTGATGGCCACCGGCTGTGTGATGTCACGACGACGTCGGTGCGGTGATGTACCCGCGTGATGCTGTGGCTGAGTGCGACAGACCATCATCGGCGCTTTCACCATCTCTACCACGGTCAGTTATTGTCTATTTTGTTTAAACTTACAAGGCCGGCAGCACACTTGCAATCCCGTTGGTGTTGCGGGTGATCATGGGCGGCGGTAGTCACTTACCATCAGTTGAGCCGCATGCTCTTTTGCCCCTTGTGTTGTAAAAAAAAAACTTTGTTGTCACAGAATAGAATAGATGTTCATTGATAGCAGTGCATTATAATAATTCGAAAATGTTCATGACGTCTTAAAGGAGATTTGCACAACTTACCCATATATCGGGCATACAATACCATTACTTCGGGGGGAAGGGATTGTTTGTAATGGGGTCTAATGAACCCATTGCTAGCAATACACTATCAGGTCGACCTCCATGTGGTTCCCCCTGGAAACCATCGTGAATTAAATTTGAATTCGTCACAATGGGCTAACTGACCTGCTTCATCCTCATCTATCATCCTTCACTGGTGGCCCGCCAGTGTATACCGATAGCGCGGGCGGGGTTACCATTCCATTATCAACCATTAAAAAAAAACCATTACTTCATAAATAACATTAGCATTAATAATAATTAAATATTATAATAGTGCATGTGGTGTTCGCCTGTAAAATACTTTTACATTAGGCAAAATTATTTTTTGTGTTATTGATTAAGCAGCATGTAAAATGTAAAAGTTGTATGTGAGCTTTATTAAATAAATAAAAAAATAAAAGAAAATAAGCATTAATTATTTTATAGTTATAAAATACAGTCGTCATCGAAGTTTAGAGTAGCAATAAAATCGTCATCATCATTATACCAGCCATTAACTGTCCACTGCTGAACATAGGCCTCTCCCATAAAGGGAGGTTTGACAATAGTTGTTTAAAAAGAGCATATTCCTTTTTAAAAGACTGGCAGCACACCTGCAATGCCGTTGTTGTTGTGGGTGATCGTGAGCGGCGGTAGTCACTTACCATCATGTGAGCCGCATGCTCGTTTGCCCCCTGTATTGTAAAAAAAAATTGGCAGACGGATTGGCAACCGTAGTTTTAGTGAAGTTTTATAGGGACAGTGCTGCCCATCCCTTGTTCCCTTAGTCACGTCTTACGACGCTCACGGGAAAGAACAGGGTGGCCCATTCTATGCCGGCACCACACGGCGATGTCACACACACGGCATGATCACATTTACAAAATATTTATGATTATTTTATATATTAATAAAATAATTTATAATTTCATTATTAAAAAAATGTCAAGAAGCAGAAAATCAGTTCATATTGTAAAAAAAAAAACATTTGCAAGTAACCATTTTTTTTATAATAATTTCAATTTGATAATTTGTAACAATTTAAGCCTATATTAATAATTTGTTATTATTGCCAATTTAGTAAGATGTTGGATTCTCTAATAACAATATTTCCCACAAAGAAAATTAAAATTAAAGTAAATAAATAAGTAAATGTCTTCGAAGTTTGATTACTTGGTTCGTGAATTTTTTATTATTAAAAGAGGATATCCACAATTCGACGGCTTTCTGTATATATATCATGCAAGATATGTGCATTCTTAAACATAATAAAAACGTTATTGTATGCTATATTTTATAATTACTCCTCTCCATCCAAAGTTTGTCTGGAAGAGATCGCTCTTAGCGATAAGGTCCCCCATTGTTTTCTCATTGTTATTATTTCTTGTAATTGTTTGTATTTATAATAAGTTTACTATTGTAATCTTTTGGAGGAAACAATAAAGAGTATCTATCTATCTACATCATATGCAGTTATTTAAATAACTATATTGACTACTTAAAATTTATAGTGCAAAATATATATTTCTGAATTGTTATGTAGTAAAATCTATCAGTTGGTGAAGGCGGAAGTAGGATAATATTTTATCGAAAATATAAATGAGAAATGAGAACCAAATCTTGAGCTTGAATTACGTCTAAAGTGAAATAAATCCATTGTGTAAATAATTCTGTTTAAATTTAAGAATTTATATTTCACCAGACTTTGTACAAAAGTCGATTGCTTGGGTACCTTTGTCCTATTTGTGTTTCTACCGTGAAGCAGTTGTGTTTGCATGGCTGTGTTTCGGTTTGAAGGATGAGATATGGCGTGAATTTACAGGGTACAGAGGAATAACACTGAGTTCTCAGGAATGGCAACGTATGGGGAGTATCATGGGCGAAACAGTATACTCTGTTATGTCCATGGTACTGCTCATGTCTATAGGCGACGGTTACCACTTTCATCAGGTGGGCCGTCAGCTTATTTGCCATCCTAAATTGTATAAAAAAAAATTTGCACAAATTTTATTGCACAATAAAGAATAAAGAAATTAATCAATGTTTGTAGAGGTAAATGTTTTACCTACTTTATCTTATGTTACAGAGCCATATGTTGCGCTGAGCTCGTGCACGCGCACCACCGGAGGACAGGTGCAGCTGTGGCAGTTTCTGCTGGAAGAACTGGCGAACGGCTCGCCTGGCATCTGCTGGGAGGTAGATATACCTGTGTACCTGGATTATATAGATTATATAGTTACTTTTAAGGGCGCCAGCTTCCAAACAGCCTAGTGGGTGCTCTACGCTTTTATATACACGTAACTTTTTGATAAAGAGAAATTAATTTTCCTTTATCGCTATCTTCCTACGCTTGTCCCAATTATTGTTTGGGATCAATGTTATATGTTTTTTTCTTCCATTGTTCTCTATTCACAGTCATTTCCGCATTCACTCCCATTTTAGCCATATCATCTTTCACACAGTCCATCCATGTCTTTTTAGGTCTTTCCTAAATCATCATCATCATCATGCCAGTTATTATCTATCCACAGCTGAACATAGACTTCCCCCATAGAGTGCCATAAGAAATGGTCCTGAGCCATCTGTACCCACTAACTCCTTGCAATGCATTTGAAGTCGTCACCCCATCTAGTTGGGGGTTCCCACTCAAGAACCTTTCTACCCCATCGATTGTCAGTTGCCACTTGCTTATCCTTCTGGCTTTGTCGGTGACTTTGGTATCATTTTCCTAAATATATATTTAAAATCGTGGGAGTTTCAATTACATTTACGATAAAGTATTGTGATGAGTGTCAAAAGGCATGTGTTGAGGCAGTGCCAGAACGAGGGTGAGTTCCGGCTCTCAGATCCGGACGAGGTGGCGCGCCGCTGGGGCCGCCGCAAGCAGAAACCAAATATGAACTATGACAAGCTGTCGCGTGCACTACGGTATTACTACGACAAGAATATTATGAGCAAGGTATGAATATTATGAGAATGCTATACATATAGCAATAAGTTCGCCTTTTATCTCGAATATTCTTTTGTAATGTAGTCAATAAAGAATAAATAAATAAGGTATGTGGGCTTTTGTATAAACTGAGGTTCAAAGACTGTTCTATATTTTCAATGAACACTATATTCAGAGCTATTACGTACGTATGTACGGCTAAATAAATAAAAAGAAAAATCGGTATCATATATTAGCTTTAATAGGTAAATTTTTGATACATTGAATTATATAGAATATAATGATATAAGATAACAACTTTCCGAATCCCGCAGTAGATTAATAAACTGACCCTAAAAGTATCCACTGATCAAAAAGGATAATTTAAAAGTGCTTATAAATAAGTTTGTTTGAATATACATGATTTGAATTTGAAATTATCTTTATAAGTGAGAAAACACTCGTAGGTAATATTTTTATAGATTTTCTTAAACTAAAATATGTATAAGTACTTAGTGCAAGTGTTATTATAAATATGAATACTAAATTTCACTAAATAATAATAATTTTTACTTAATGCAATAAAGTGTAAATAAATAAATAAATAACAAATATTTTTCATTCAGTAAACATAATTATGAGCATCTATGAGTAACTTATTTATGAGTATATCGCCCAGTTTGGAATGATATTTCAGCTGAGAAGAACGGGCAAGAAACGCAGCTGTTGCTTTTTTTTTTCAAATAAAAATTAAGTTTACAACAAAAATGTGAATGGATAAAATAACTATCACAAACTTCGTATTGATAAAAAGAAAGAAAATAAAAAAAATTACAAAGCTACAATCAATCACAGTATTCTTGAACAGACTAGTGCCATCAATCGCCAATTCTTCAGTATCAACAGAATCTGCGATTTCCTTATATCAGGTTCACGGCAAACGCTACGCTTACCGGTTCAACTGGCGGGGGCTGACCGCCGCGTGCCAGGCGCAGGCTAGCGACGCGCCTCCTTACTGGTATTACCTTCCTCAGTCGCAGCAGCATGCATCGCAGCCACCAGGACAACGGGACTTGCAGCGACAGGACCCACCTGCGCCGTCATTAGAACAGTAATATAATAATATTTGCTTTTGCCTGCAACTTCGTATGCATGGATTTTGGAAGTATGAAAACAAATTAAATAGATCACTTCTAAATAGGTATATCAAGATAAAATATACGAAGGCTCAAAAGTACCCGACCTGATAAAGAAAACAGTAAAAAAATTGCGAATTTTTTTTTTTCAACATATCTTCTTTCAACTCGATATACTTTTCCCAACGATGTTCAATAGCTTGTCGAACTGGCCTAATTTACATGGCGCAATGCTAAATCGGACAATTTTTCTTATCAATTTATCAATAATTCTTTTAAAAATAAAATGTATATTGTAATGTTTTGGAATCATTCCTAAAAATAACGCAACTTTGATAAGTATACTTCATTCGATCTATACATCTTATCTATTACTTGTATTGTGACATTGAGTGATAGATAGTTAAATTTGGGGACAGATATATGCGTTCTTGATTCCAATAATATAATTTTTAAGTGGAATTCAAATTTAAGTTTATCTAATTAATTATTAATGTTGTTTTTTTTTTTTTTTTTTTTTTTCTTTTTTTGTGGCGTTCACCCCGATATTAGGGTATTTTGCCAAGAACAAAACGGGGAAACGATAATAGTAATAAAAATACCTAACACAAACGAATTTAGAAAGGATAAGGATTAGGTCTAGGATATTTATAGGATATGAAACATATACTTGTACATATGAGAATATACTTATAAATATATAGGAAAAGCAATTGATGCAACTATAAATGTATTCATGTAATATAACTAAATCTTAATATTGTTATCATATATATATGAAGATAGTATTTTATAGATAATAGGATCATTGGAAGAAAGTAGAGTAAGAATAGAAGTTGGGAATGGAACACGGATGGATCGGAGATGATTAAAAAGGAGGTGTGGTCAAATTTAGAACATGAGAAGAATATATGATTCAAGTCCGCCACTTCAGCACCGCAATTACACGACGAACTTTGTACAATACCAAGCTTGTATAAATGAGAAGGTGTGCATACGTGACCTAGACGCATACGAGTTATAATAGTTGTTGCGGTCTTTCCAAGCTTTAATTTACAAAACCATGGTTTGAAAGGAATATCGGGTTGTATAAGGCGATAAAATCTTCCTTTTATTGTACTTGTTTTTTCCCAATATTCCTTCCAGGCATACCTTAAATATATTTTTGGGAGACAAGCTAGGTCACTACAGTAATTATGATACGGATACATATCACCACAAGTTACAGCCTCTCTTGCAATAAGGTCAGCTTTGTCATTGCCGCTAATACCACTGTGTCCTGGTAACCAGGCAAAAGAAACGGAATAACCTCTCAACATGCAAAGATAAAGACTTTGTCTTATGTCACAAATAATGGGATAAACTGGTTTTGATTTAAACGGATATTTGGCTAGAGCTTGCAAAGAGCTCATAGAGTCAGTGAAAACTATTGCCTTATGTAATTTCATTAAAAGTATATATTCTACAGCTTTTAAAATACCATAACATTCCCCGGTAAAAACTGAAGACTCCGGTGGAAGTTTAATTTTTGAACGATATTAAATTGTGAATGAAACACACCCACACCTACACAACCGCTATTGTCTGGTTTTGATGCATCAGTAAAGATGTAGTGCCATTCATTCCATTCAATGTCAGTTATAAACATAAATTTGGCATTCAATTCTGAATCATTTTTTAATAACCCAAAATCATATTTAATATTAGGAGATAAAACTAAAGATTGATATGAGCATTTATAAATGGGAAAACAGGACGATGTAAAAGTGGGAGATTCTATGGATTTATATTTTTCATAACTTTGTATTAAACATGGAGGTTTTTTATGTTTCCAATAAGATGAAGACGAAATAAAGATATGTAGTTGAGATAACTTTTGAATAAGCGGATGATCAGATAATTGTAAACAACGAAAAAAGAAGCGATCAGATAGATATTGTCTTCTTAAAACCAAAGGTGGATCACCGACTTCGAGCTGTAAAGCATTGATTGGACTTGATTTCATTGCTCCAGAGATAATCCTCAAGGCCTTTGATTGAATTAAATCCAATTTCTTAAAAGCAAATGAACTTCCTGGAGCTAACAAAAAAGTTCCATAATCAATGACACTCCTTATAAGACCATTATAAGCAAGTTTTAGTGAAACGGGATGTGCTCCCCACCAAACTCCAGCAAGGCACCTAAGAATGTTGAGGTTACGCTTTTTCGTAGAAATATAATTACAGTGGGACAGACCTGTTAATTTATTATCTAGCACGATACCTAAAAATTTAATTTCAGTCTTTATAGGAATGTATGAGTTATCATAAAGCACCTTAATTTGTTGCGGTGATCTCATTCTTGAAAACAAAACTACACTACTCTTGGTTACAGAAAGATTAAGACCATTTGCATCTAACCACGTTTTTAACAAATCTAATGAATCAGATAATTTGGCAGAAGCAGATTCTATGGACTTCGCAATAAAATATAATAAAAGATCATCAGCATATTGTAAAATTTTGACGGATTTATCAAGGAATAATTCTAGATCGTATGTTAAATAAGATTGGACTGAGAACAGATCCTTGTGGAAGGCCTTTCCATACTGTTCTAGATAATTTGGTATCTTCATCTAAATTCATATATATTGTTCTTTCTGATAAAATATTAATAATGAAATTAGAAAGCATTACCGGTACATTTAGAGCTTGTAATTTAGTTTTTAAAATAGAAATTATTACATTATCATAGGCAGAATTTATATCTAAAAAGGCTGAGAGGATTGACAAATTTTGTGAGAAAGCTATATGAATATCTGAAATAAGAATGCTCACATTATCTAAGGTGCTCTTACCTTTCCTAAAACCAAACTGGTTCGGGGATAGTAAGTTATTACTTTCTAAAAACCATTCTAGACGGTTTTTCACTAAATGTTCAGCTAGCTTTAGTAAGACAGAGGAAAGTGCAACAGGACGGTATGAAGATGGTTCAGAAGGTGGTTTATGAGGCTTTAGAAATGGTATAATAATCTGAGACTTCCATGAAGTAGGTATATTTCCCGAAATAATTATGGAATTAATTATATTTAAAAAGTAAATTAATGTCGCATCGCTAGCATTTTTAAAAAAGGAATACGGTATACCGTCTTCTCCCGGTGCAGAGTCTTTAATAGAAGCTAGAACACCTTTAAGTTCTACTAGAGTAAAAGGAGAGTCAAGTTCGAATAATTCGTCAGAGACGGATAGAGAAATATTGTAAAGGCATTCCGGCACATAACTAGGAGCAAGACGATCTAAAAATTTATTCGCTAAAGTTAAATCGAGTGCAGAACGTGATGTATGATCACTAAAGGCAGATCTGAATCTTTTAATATTATTCCAAACGACTGATGAATTAACTTCTGGACAGATAGAAGAACAAAATCTTCTCCAGCCTTCTAATTTCTTTTTTTTCAGTAGTTTTCGAGTAGAACGTGAAACTGCGGTGTAAATTTCAAAATTTTCTGGTGTCATGTAATTATTATAATTTTTTTCAGCCTCTTTACGATTTTTAATTGCTTCCGTACAATCTTTGTCCCACCAAGGTGGCGAGGGAATTTTCCCTGAAGCACTATTTTTAACAGGAAATAATAAATCAGCAACCTCCTTCATATTTATCATCAAGTCATTACAACATTGATGTTCATTTCCATGGTAAACAATAGGTAACTCCGATATTTTATTATCTAAATATTGTTTGTAAATATTCCAGTCTACATTTGATAAATTATATTTAAGCCGAGGACCACTCTTTCGACTTGAGGGAATGGAAATTGGAAAAGAAAGAATGAGGGGAAAGTGATCGCTTCCGAAAGTAGAGGAATGAGGATACCACGACAGTGAAGAAGCTAAATCAGAAGAACATATTGAAATGTCAGGAGCACTAAACCCTTCATTCGGTGCAGTTCTACGTGTTGGTACATCTGAGTTAATAATACATAAGTTGTAAGTGTCAATTATCGTCAGGAGTTTTCCACCATAAAAATTAGAAGTAGAACTGCCCCACGATTGGTGTTGAGCATTAAAATCGCCCATTACGAGAAAAGGTTGAGGTAAAATTGAAAATAATTGTTCTAGTTGTGAATATATTTGGCATGTAGGATCAGGAATATATAAAGTAACAAAACAGATACCATTTATAATTATAGCAGCTGCATTAATGCCGCTATATACAGGAAGCGAAAAAGAAGAAAAAGGAAGGGAGTTTTTGACCAATATGGCAACACCGCCATATCCGTCAGCTCTATCATCACGGAGACTTGTAAAGCCTGAAATCCTAAAAGGATATCCTGGCTTTAACCAAGTCTCTTGGAGAGCTATTATAAAAGGATTATATTTATTAATCAAATAAAATAAGTCTGATTTCTTGTTTGTTATGCTACGACAGTTCCACTGAATTATTAGGACTTTGTAATCCATTGTGAGAAGTTAATAATTGAGAAAATACATTGTAAATGGCATCGTTGGACGGTGGTAAAGTTGTTTGTATCATTTTCGATTGCGATAACACTTTAATAAGCATGAGAATAATATCAAAGATGGATTGATTATTGTCAATATTATTTGATGATAATGCACAACCATTAGAGGGAGCAGGAATATTATATTCCTTAACTATGGCTTCATGGGCAGAACGATCATATCCTTGTTGTGCTTTTTGAGGAGAGCGTGGTTTAAGTGTAACTGTTTTTTTATGTGATGATTGAATATGTGGTAATGATGATTTCTCTTTGAGGAAAGAAGATTGAAAATGAGATTTATTGGACGGAGATGATGATGTTAATACATCTGAATATAGTTTAGAAGTGGGAGGATGAAATTTTGATGCTTCAGCATAAGAAACACAACTGTGGGCCATTGTTTCTTTAATGGCTTTCTGACGTGCATATTCAGGACATTTCTTACTAATTGCTGAATGAGAACCATTACACAAGATACAAGAAACATTTTCCTCATCTACTTCACATTTATCACCTGTATGATTTTGCCTGCATTTATAACACCGAGGATTTGAACGACACTGCATCTTGACATGTCCGAACCTACAGCAGTTATAGCATTGGATAGTGGGGTAAATGTACAAATCTACAGTTAATGATGTGTAAAACATAAATACTCTTTTTGGTAATATTTGTCCATCAAAAGTAATAACAATGGTTTCAGTATTAATAAAACTTGGTTGTCCTTCATTAATGGTCTTTTTCTTAATTCTTCTGGTTTTTAGAATTCTCCCACAACCTATAGGTACTGATATATTTTGGATTACTTCCTCTTCTGTCCAATCTTTAGGAATACCCCTCACAATTCCCATACGGGTTACATGGAAAGAAGGTATAAATGCCTTAAAATTATGTGTTTCTAAGTGACTATTATTTAAAAATGCATTTGCATTTTCAAAATTTGAGAAAGAAAGCGATAAACGGTTTCTTCCTATTCTTTTGAGGCTACCATTCACTATATTATTT